GGTGGCTGGTGGAGGTCCTTCAGGTGGGTTTGGGTAGGTCATTTATAAACGGAGAAGTGTTCCCCTCTAGGTGCTTTTGACCAGAAATAAATGTATAAAAATAAAGCCAGCCCAGTCCACTGATAGAGCTGCTTTTAGCTCTGATCGGGGTTTAAAGCGCACTGATTGGCTGAGTTCATAGAAGTTTACTATGTTCCTCTGTCCTCTCACATTCTCAGAGTAGCTGGAGGCACAAAAGGTTTCTCCAATCTAAATGAGTCAAATCCTGGTCAAGCGCCCTCCTTTGGGTATCTGATTGGAGCACTGTGTGTCTCTGCCCTCCCGCCCTGGGCAGCGTTTCAGCTTACTGCCCGGGGGGGGGGGGGGGGGGCTGAGAGCTCCTCAGTTACACTTAAGAGCAGTCTTGAAATGCTGCCTCAGTGGGAAACACACATCCTTCAGCCCACCGAGCTTCAACGGTTTGAAGGGTTGGATAATGCTTCAGTTCATCTCTCACAAATGGCTTTTTGTTTTATTAAATCATGACAATGTGCTGGCAGCCACAACCTAAAACAGGTACAAACATGAACTGCTTTGATTCTCCTGGATGGGCCATCACGCCCCTCTACCACCAGGTCCTTCTACCAGCAGGTCCTTCTACCAGCAGATCCTTCTACCAGCAGATCCTTCTACCAGCAGATCCTTCTACCAGCAGGTCCTTCTACCAGCAGGTCCTTCTGCCCAATCCTCTGAAAAGACGAGCAGAAGGAGGTCCACCCCGTGGATCTGAAGCAGATCTTTAACCAGGAACAAAGTATCTGGCCCTGCTGGTGAGGCGTCCATGCACAAATCTGTTCACAAACAGAAGAAATGAACAGCAAACCTGTCCTATATAAACTAAATCAGACATGATAAGCAAACGTTGAGAGGAAGTTCAATAAAGGCTCAACCAGAAGGGAAACCCTCTATGACCTGGAGTGTCTTTGAACGTTTCTCTCAAGCTTGAACAAATGTGCTCCTTTAAATATGGCACCTTGAAATGATGA